GGCTGAAAAACAAATACATTTATCAGCTGCAATAATGCAGTTCAGACAACAGAGGGCAGCAAAGTATTTGTGTTGCAGCTTTTGTATTAGTGTTGGCACCTCTGGTCCACCATAAGGTTGACATAGTATATCAGTCATGATGCTAAGTTAAAATATTTTGCTAATTCTATTTTTTTGCTGGAAAATATTTATCAAAAATGTGTTTTATGCCTAATCAACTGCAAACCTATAAAGTTATTTTGTGTCAGTTCTGTGTACAAAATTTTCAACACATAGTTAGACTGTTTTTCTGCAAAACTCAACTAAAGCTTCTTTTAAGGGAGAATTGTTAGACAAATTGAAATGTGGACATAACTTGATTTAGTGCTTCTCTGAACTGCTGTTTAAAAAGGTTTTAGTATTTATTCAGTTTGCGATCACATCTCTTTTCAGTTACTTTGAATCTGATTGATGTACAGTTAAGTTCAGGACAAATATGGGATAACAGTCTTGCAAAGACATGAAAGAAACAGGCCAAAGTGGCTAAAAATGGGCTGAGGACAATACTACAGTAGCTGGTGGCATTTGGTACTCTATGCTTTCTGCAAAACAAAATGCTTTATTCTCTTTATCATTTGACTATTGGTTAGGGTTACAGATCAACTGTTTTTCCCCCCAAAGAAATAGGTAATCAGGATTGGACAAACATTTGAAAAGGTCTGACACTAAAGCAACCCTGAGGATGACCATGAAAACATGGTGTCATCAGTAAAACATGGTGGTGACAGTATCATGATCTAGGGTTTCATTTTTATTTTTAGATGAAACTAGTCTTTTTTGATAAGGTGGTTAAGATATAATTCACTTTTTGTTAACACTTAAACCAAAAATGTTCTTCCATGAAGCTGAAAATGATCATTCACCTAATAAGGCTTATTAAAATCCTGTGGACCCTGTTCACATTGTTGGTGATATAGCTATGCTTGTTTTTAAATAGTTTTCCTAATAAGCTCAACAGTCTCTTTATTATTTATTTTGTCTATTTAGTTGCGCTTGTTCAGATTAAGTGAAACTAGAAAAATTTCCCAGCATTTTAACACATTTCAAGTGTTTATTTTGTTATCTTTAAACCAAGTGCTTTTTGCCATTTCTTCCAACTTTTTTTTATGTTTAATCTTAACCAATAAAAGGAATAAATATTTCATGTCCTCCTGGCTTGCCTAACTTTCTGGTTGAATACATACACAAATTTAATTTGACTTTGGTCATTTTGAATCCACTCACTAGTCAGTTGATGGATGAAAAGAACAACAATGAAAAAAGGCCTGATTATGAACACATCAAGAAAATACATTGCTTGTTCATAAAAAATCCAGTGGGGAAATATCTACTGTTTTCTTGAATGAATAAATGATCTTCCAGGGACAATGTCAATGCAAAACGAGAAAATACAGAACTTTCACAAATTAACTCAACACAAATGTGCTTTTTTGCCCCACTAAGATGCTTTATACTGCTGAGAGAATATGTTTAAGTTATTTAATTATGGTAGTATGAATATGGGCAATTTAGTCAGCCAGATCTAAGTGAATGGTTTAAATTAAATTACATTTAAATATAAACTAAAAGATGACCTATAAACAATCATTTTCATTTTTCCCAATGTTTAAGTGCATTTCTTTTTGTCCCTTTGCCATTTCATACTTTTGCTCTTTCAACGCCAAAACTTTTGCATACAAAATCTGCCTGCCACATGAATTCTTGGAAATGTAATAACAATTTTTTACGGAAGAGGATTAGGGCCACTGAAAAAAATGAAAAAAGTTAACAGATTTTTACATTTTATTTCTTTTTTAAAAAAAAGTCATTAAACTAAAATAAAAAAAATCAATAAAATTTTTTCAAACTACTTTTTGATTTATTTTTCAGTGGCCCTAATCCTCTTCTGTACATTTTTTTCACCAGAAAATCTGGCATTTTAACAGGGGCATGTGCTGAAAGAGATTCCTTGTGCTGAATGATGTAAATTCATAAATCATAACAAGAACATACACTGCAAAGTGTTACAAAAATTTTTATTACCTTACAAATGTTAGCGTATACAGAAATACATCTTTAAGGAGTCCTTAAACTTAAAAACAAAGCAAAGTGTACAAGTTCAGAGAGCTGCAAAATGTAGGAGTGAGAAGAGCTCCACTTCATCTCCATCATGTTTAACATCCGTGTTCAAGCCTTCAGATGTTTACAGAAGGCCACACAGCGTTGCTGCTGTGTGCAATAGCTCACGAGAACACAACTTATTTTTGTTAATGGCGTGCAAACCTTTGATCAGCCCTGGTAAACAAGCAGAGGTCAGGCTGAAAACTCAAGCATCTCGCACAAGTTTATTATTTTAAGGTTTTCGTCGGCACGGCTGGCATTCAGCTAATTTCCTGTGGAAAGTTCTGCAGTCGCTGCTGGAATGTGACCATTTGTGTTCAATGACATGCAACCCTCAGCCAGCTTACATGTAGGACATAAATCAGCTCTATTTTTGGTGTTATAAACACACCTTTACTGCTCTACATCTGGCTAATAATTTCTATAAAGGTATATATATATGCACATATATATATATATTGCTGAAGTCTCTCATCTGTCCTCTTGCAGCAGCTGCAGCCTGTCTTCTGCTAAGTTTGGGCTGCTGCGTCCAGTGTCAATAGCTTCACAATCATCTATGAAAAACACCAGGTCCTGCCAATAGAAACAAGATAAAAATATGTTTCAGTTTTTTTTTATGCATGTTTGTACTGTATGTGGTCAAACAGCTCAAAAGGAAAAAGGAACATATCTGAGAGGCTCTCACCCGGTAACAAAGTCTGGTGACGATGGTGTAAAGGTTCTGGATTTTCCTTTTCAGCAGAACCATTCTGGGCTTCTCCTTGCAGATCGAGCTGGGATGGTTCAGCACCACGTAGAGAATGTCACGCAGTTTGTTGGAGATGCATGCATTCTAGAGACATAATAAGATGCTTATTTTGCTAATTACTATAAGTTTTTACTTCCCTCTAATCTTTAATTAGAACACAAGTCTTAAGCTTGATGCAAATCCAAAGCAGTTGGATTAAAAGCAGCTCTTATCTGATAAGGAATAAAATTTAATTAAAACAAATTTTCATTCTAGATTATATGCAAATAAAAAAAAAATAAAAAAAAAAAGGTTTTCCAACTTACATGGACATCAATGTGGATGACAGGCAGAACTTTTGCACACTCTTTCTAATAAAAAAGAATTAAGAATATAAAAGCTGTCAGTCAGAAAAAAAACCTGCAGCAGCGAGGAGGTCTTACAGTGCGGGGGGAAGTATGGATCTTATCCAGGAGGGTCATGATTTCTTTGCCCAGGTTGAGCGCTCTGGAGTAGCAGGTCGGAGGAGTGCAGTCACACTGAAGCACGGAGCTGAAGAAGCAGAGGAGAGCCACCAGTCCCAGCCTCATGTCTATTTGCTTTGAAAAGGGTCCAGCTGCATGTGAAGAAATCCAACAAATAAGCTGCAGAGAAACCACTGCCTGTGCTTTTAAGGATGGAGAAAAAGCCAAGGAAAAAAAAAGAGGATGACGTGGAAGAGCTGGAAAGCTCAGTGGGGGAAAATGAAAACACTGAGTGACTGTTGGAAAGCTTTGAAAATGAGTTTATCTTAGCTAAAGGCAGATCCAGGATTTTTTATATCTGGTTTTAGTTGCTTTAGAATTGAACTTAGAAAAGTCTTTAAACTTTTATATCAGTCAGATATATTAAATGTTCTATTTTTGGTATGTGTTTACATTTAGTTTAATTATTATAACATTCTCATGTCAAATATGTAGTAAGTTGGTTCTACAGAGGCCACCACAAACAAACCGAGGATCCTTCATTCAGGCATATTTGTTGTGTTAAACCTCAGATCACAGATTAATAATGCAAAGTACTGGACTGTTGCTCAGTCATTCCAAGTTTTATTTGCAGATCAATTTAGTCAGATAGAAGATTGGTGATGCATCCCATTGTCAACTTTTCTTAGTCAGTGATGATTTGATGAGCAATCTCATCCTTGGGCTAAAGCGTGGTATCAATTCAAATGACAGATCAGGCTTCTATACCAGAAACAATTCAAAACACCTCTTAGTTCACTTTGCTGGTAAGCTTTATGTGATGATTGATTTCATTCTCTAGCAGGACTCTAGCTGCTTTCATTTTACCTTTGTGTCTCGGAGTTTGATTGGCCAACAAGCCGGCCTGACCGAAACCATAGAGGATCTATGGAGTATTGTCAGAATGAAGGTGATACGACTCATTAAATAATCCAGATTACATGCAGGCTGTGAATAAAGCAAAAACAATCTTGTATTACTCCTCAGCAGAGCCACAGGCTGATCCCCTCCATGGTACGCAGCACTAATGCAGTAATCCACGCAGTTCAGACAAAACACTGTGCAGATCCAAAGAAACTACATACGCTTCAATATTAAAATAAATATAGTTTTATTATAGGCAGAATAATCAGAAAAAAATTATTGGTGGAAACCCTCCAAATAGGAAGTCTATATGCAAGTTATACGTAATTAATCTTCTGTGAATATTCCAATTCATCCAAATGTTTCTGTATCTGAACATCTTGAAGAGGAAATACAAAAGACATCAGGTGTGAAACGTCAGCTGCCTTTAATTGAAAAAAAGCAAGATAATACATACATATAAAAATGGTACAAAAATAAGCAGATTTATATAAAACTATCAATTTCTTGGTGATTTCCTTAGAATCATAAAATTACAACAAGAGAACAGAATAAGAGATATTGCATAAGAGTCTCATGTTGCAGGAGCAACAGAACCTTTCTTAAGATTGAGAAAATTTCTCTTCTTTTTCCTTTTCGGGACGACGGCAGGATTATCAGATTCCGGTGGATCCCGAAACACAAACAGGCGCTCTCTCCCCGGTGCGTTGCAGGCGGAGGTCTCCTTTTCCTCATCAGGGCAATTCTCTGCTTCCGTCACAGCTCTCGCTGTGTCACTCTGCAGCTGCCGAACAAAGGTGGCAGGCTTTAAAACAGGCTGCTGGCCGTTTGTATTTAGGTCCTTCTTTCCTCTGTCCCCAGCCTGCAACGATCCAGCATCCAGACGGGACCTGGGGAGCAGCTTTTCCACCATACTGCGCATCTTTACCCGAAGCCTGAGAGATTTGGAATAAAACGAGGCCATTGTGAGCTGGATGTTCTAATCAAAGCTACACTTCACTTCAGTTTGAGGTTCATCAAAGATGTCGCTATCCAGAAGTTACTCCTGGTAGTAGTTTGACATTGGAAAGCAAGGCTGATAAACAGAGACGTGTTGGACCCACCTCTCTCTCTCCACAGCACCATGTTGCACATCTGTGCTGTTTTTCTGCAGCAGAATTTCCCTCAGTCTGACAGGAATGACTCTGTTCTGCTCCCCAGCACATCTGCAGAAAGAGAAATCATTAAATGAAGCATTTAACAGCTTCCCAACTAAACCTGCAACGGCGTCATGCCGCGTCTGCCTTCTCCCGCAAAACAGTGTCCTCATTCAGAGATGGCTTTAGGGAGTTCTCAGTGTGAGGGAAAATGGGTTTCCATTCACAGAACCAGAGCAGGGCGTGATGCAAACTTTACGTTACTGGAAAGGAAGGTGTGGCTGTAAAGCTGCAGTTCCATCCACAGACAATTTATATGTGCCTTGCAAAGTATTCAACCCCCTGAAATTATTTCACTTTTTTTCACATTACAATCACACATTGTATTTTTAACCTGAGTGTAACGTAATCTTAGCATAAATCCATTGGGTTGGTTAGATAGAGACAAAGCAACGTCATGAAGACCAAGAAACACAGCAGAGAGGTCTGGGAAACAGTTATAGAGAAGTTTAAAAAAGGCTTTTTGTTGCACAATAAATTCAATTCCATTCAAATCAATTCAGTTTATTTATATAGCGCCAATTCATAACACATGTCATCTCAAGGCAATTTACAGTTCACCAGATCATACAGTCAGATTGATTCAAAGTGTTCTATCTAAGGAAAACCAGTTGATTGCATCGACTCATTGACTCAAATACAATCCCTCACACTAAGCATGCTTGTAGCGACAGTGGAGAGGGAAAAACTCGCTTTTAACAGGAAGAAACCTCCAGCAGAACCAGGCTCAGTGTGAGCGGCCATCTGCTGAGGCCGACTGGGGTTTAAGGAGACAGAAGCAGAGATATAAAAAGCAGATGTAAAAGGCGGCCCCATCCAGGAAACACACAGCCAGGCAGACGAGCTCCAAGCCAACTCCCATGTCAGAGGATGAAGAGAACACATCCAGCCAGTCACGGTCAGAGAAACAGGACTACACTGGAAAACTGGCCGATCTCCAGCAAATATAAACAAGGATGTTGATGGAAACAGCACAGCTGATATAAATAAATAAATGTAGAGCACTTCTCCAGCTACCCAAAAGTATAAGGACAGAGGTACAACAAGTTAGTAAACTTTTCTTTAATAGCACATTTTAGTAAAATGAAAAAGAAAAAACAAAGAGGAGCAGCTATCAAAAAGCATACAACTAGTTAAAATGCTGAATAAACTGGTCTTTAGCTACTTATTAAAAGAGTGTACAGAGTAAGACATATGGATGCAAGGTGTTCCGCTGCATAGGGGCAATAGTTCTAACGCCCTCTGGTCCTAAAAGAAATTCACAGAATCAATTAACAGCCTTTGAATGTAAGATCTCAAACAGAGAAAGGAAATGCAACTGGAAAAAGATCAGTAATCTAGGTAGGAGAATTACCATGTAGCACTCTGAATGTGAACAAATGTAAAGGTAACCAATGTTAAAAGAATAAAACTGCAGTATTAGTAACTGACTGTAAATGGTTTAGATGTTTCCTTATGCAAACACACTGAAACCATCAAGAACAGAGGAAGAAAGGCAGGAATCATAATCTGTAACTGAGGCTCTGCCAAACCAAAGTTAAAGCTTAATAACATGTCTCAAAGTAAGACTGTTAGCCACTATTAACACTTAGAGGTTAAAAATAAAATCTTCAGTTGGCTAACTAATAACATCACCTCCCTCCTACAAGATTATAAATGGACTACAGGGACAGATCTGAACACAAATAGCAGAAGAAAGATTAAGGAAAGATCATTCTGGGTCTTTTTCCAACAAATTCCTGCTGGAGGCATTCCTCATCAGGAAAACTATCCAAACTCAGCAGGAGACAGAAAACCTTGTTCCAGGCCATAAGGAATAAAAGGGAAATTAAATGAGGACTATAATCTATTTTTTGATCTCAGCTCAGAGAAAAACAACAGTAAATGCTGTGATTAACAGTACTTCTTATTTAAATGAATTAGAATGCTTGGAGAAGGTTGTGTCTCAACATGGTTCTCTACAAACATTTATGCTTTTTTTTTATATACTTCAATAAGGAAATACTTTTATGAACAACAGATGTTGAGCATCCTGAAACTAATTTATCACAATATCAGTTTACAATACCACAATGTTCTACAAATTAAAGGATAGAAGTAACATGAAGCAAAGGGCCATGTAAGCTCATACAGAACTACATTACAGCAGAAAACACATTTAGGAAGAACAGCTGCTTTATTCCTCCTAGTGTCACTAACTGACCAGTCTGCTGTTTTCCCCGATCTTCATAAAGCTGCTTGTTTGCTAGTTGTTCACTAATAACATACATCTGAGGTGAATAAATAGATTTAAAATTAAGATTACCTCACACATAAGTGGACTCTGATTACAGAGAAAATTAGTGCTGAAGCCAACTGGTTGCTTTGGGTTTTATTTAGAGGCATCAGAGTAAATCATCCCCCTTAAGCATTTTGGACAACTTTATTGTGATCTATTGCATGAAATTCCAGTAAAATATGTCAAGATTTTTTGTAATAATTTTATTTTTTTTTAATATTGAAAGGTTAAATGCATGAATACATTTGCCAGGAACTTCCTAGTGTGATAATATGTGAAAATCATCCATGTACAAATTTATCTTTTAAATGAAACTTTCAGGAATAAATCTCGTAAACTAATATATTCATTTAGTGAGTTTTTTCCTGACAGAACTTGTTGTTGAGACTTTAAATTAATGAAGAACTTGTGAAATAAGACAAATATCCAAAAAGGTACTGAAGCAAAAATGTCAATTATTATAGGGGTTAAAATAAAGATCAGATTTCTTTTATTATAACTTTGTAAACTTAAGTTAATAATGTCTCTCAGTGTTTTTTTTTGGAGGAATAAGGTTTTCTTTTTTTTGTTGTTATTGAGTGAAAACCCCAAGAACTTTCATGTGCCTCTTTATCGAGATTAAAGTTAGCATGTTCACTTATTTAAAGGGGTCATAGAATGCAGAACCGAGTTGACATTGTCATAGATGAATAATGATAGTTTAGTGGGTGAAATGGACGTACAGAGAAGTTCAAACCCCTTCGATTCCTCCTTTCTCTGCAAATCTCACAATTCCAAACTTCCACCATAAAACGGGCGAATCCAAACGAAGCACCGAGTTGGAGTAAACTCGGGGATGTTGCCTTATTTGGTTCTGGCCTTTACTTTTGTCAAACCCTGAAATTTACATACAGACCAGCCAACTGTTTTACTGGCCCAAGGGAGGGGGGGTATGAAGTGTCGACTGCTGGGCAGCTGACTGGACCGGACCTCAGCAGAGAGCCATGAGCCTCCTGGAAGAGGTGGGCCAGTAAGGCAGGCAGGAGGAAGCACGGGGTCCAGCCTGTGTCCAGGCTACCGTCACTGGGACGGGTTCGGTCACTCCATGCCCCGCTGGTTCCCTGCTCCCCTCCGCCGGGGTTCCCGGACCAGCCCCGGAGCTGACGGTTCAGCTCAGTTCGAATTTCCCCTGAGTTTCTACTATATGCTGCACTATAGTCGACCAAAATCCCAGACAATTTTAAAATTAAACCCTGGACATTTTTTTAAGTATGAAAAATAGGACATGTCTGTTAAAAAGAGGACGTCTGGTCACCCTACCATATCAATGATTGCGATCTTTCAGTGATTGAGTGGTTGTTGCTATGATGCGTCTTTGCTCAGCAGCTTCACTCATTGTAAACCAACCAATCAGTGCACAGCTCATCTAAATATTCATGAGCATACCATAAAAGGAAGAAAACCTGTCGTTTCATTTCAGGGCTTTTAACCAGGCTTGAATTAGGGGTCATAGAACAGCAAATATGCCATTTTCAGCCAAACCAATGTTACACACCCTATTCAGAGAACTTAAGGACCTGCACCAAATACCCTATAGAATCATTCTCTGAGCCCTTTTAGAGGAAATAAAGAGATTTCAGATGCCCTCTGCAGTGCTAGAGCTGAGTAGTAGGGCAACTTTTAAAATACACTGAATGGTGAGAGAGAAAAGTAAAAGTGAAATATTCTATGTTTTAGTTTCAACAGAAAAGGACAGAATGGTTTCAGACACGCAACAGAGATTAGGTGTACAAAGGCAGCTCTTCAAGGGAGACGAGGGAATTCAAGGAAGGGGAAAAAACAAAGAATTCCTCTGGAGTTGACTAATCATATTAGATTGCCAGAAAGATTTGAGAAAAGCTGCACCACAGTCAGTTTCACAGTAAATCAAACCTATCCCCTAATGGGATCCAGTACTGTCTGAATAAATACTAAAAGAACGTAACCCAAACAAGACTTTGCTCTTTTCTGCCAGATAATAGATCACAGACTATCTTCTTACCCGGAGCGATCTTCCTCTGCAGAAACTGAAACGGGACGTTGTTTGCGGCAGAGGGCGTCGCTGATTGAAAGAAGTTCACTTTCGGGCAAACTTGGAAGAAGGAGGCGCAGAACCTCAGAGAGAATAGAACCAGAGAGACGACTCTGCTTTAGCAGCTGAGAGGCAAACTCCAGATCCTGTCAAGTACAGACTCTCTTTACTTTCTTTTATCCAACAGCAACATTTCCACTGCTTATTAAATGTTAAGAAAATGATATCTGACCTGATCACAGTTTGAATAAAGTCTTTTAAGTTCAACTTGCTCTTTTAATTCTTCTTTTTCTTGATCGTTGATGGTAATCTCTTGAAACCTGAAGGGAAGAACAGTTTCAACACCCGTTATTAGCACAGGCTAGACAAAGAAGGTTTATTGTATTTTTATAGATCGATCAAACACAGGGTCATTTTGGAGTTTTTTTTTAAAGGTAAATGGAGACAAAAAGTAAAGAAAAATAAAGCATTAAAAACCAAGAATGTCCTGAATCAAAAAGAAACATTTAAGCATAAAATTAGAAACATGGCTGAAAGTTTGAAACAATTCATCCATGATTCAAATGAAATGTTTATGACTAAGCTGCTACAAAAGGTAATGTTTTCAGTTCTAATTTAAAGCAGGGGTCATGACCCCCAAAGAGCGCTAAAGTATTGCCAGGGAACCTCCTCTATCCAAACTAACTAGCAACGCCACGTTAATATGATACATATCAATAAAGTTATATTAAATAATAATACATTGGAATATATTATATTTCAAAATTAAGGGAAAAAAAAGCTTTGCAGTCTATCTATGTAAAGATAAACTGCAAAATTTACTTGTTGGCTTTATGTTGTTGTTGAAATGAAAATCAGACTCTTTCTATAGTGTTTAACCTCACTGACTAGCTGAACGCAGTTCTCTGACACTGTTACTGCAATAAAAACTATTTGCTTCTGCCTTTTCCGCATCTTATCCATCCACTCAATGACTGAAGGACTAATCCAGACATCAGCATATGCATGCTAGCTCATGAGCTATATTAAATACTGAACAGAAGTGGTCTAAAGGACTGGTTATTCTCCCGCAGCAGTGTGTCGCAGTGAGCTTGTCGCAGATATGTTTGATTTATGCCCAATATTGAAGCGTGGTCTACCCTATGTTATTCCACACCAAAACGCAATAGGGACAATCATGAACTAGCTGTGGGTCTAGATACGGTCGAGGCGGTGAGGAAGTGCGGGCAAGTTTGTGCAACAATGGAGGGACATGAGGGCGAAAAAGAGCGGGGATCGAGGTGGAAAAAGGGTCCCAGTGTTCTTGCACACCTCGCTCTACTATTCATCTTCATGAGTCGTTTTCCACAATGGCGATCATACAAACAAAACAAGCCAGTAAGGTACCAAACAGGAAATACACATGGGGTATAGCAGATGTAGATTTGCACAATCAGAGAACTCCTGTCTGCGGCACTGTCTGCGGTCACCTACATTTTTGGAGAGGTGCAGCAGAGTGTCTGCGGAAAGGGCGGAGGAACATTTGCATTCACTGCGACACAAACGCAGACAACCTGGTCTCTGAGTATAAATCAGCCTTAAGAATGGAGTCTTGAACAGGGTTCCCACACTTCAGGTAAAATTCAAGTAGTTTCAAGAACCTGCCAGAAGCCTTTCCTCAAATTCAAGGAACAAGTGGGGCAGGGTTTACCTCCTGCTACCATTTAAAATATCATCTTTAGTTGCATTTTCATGGCCATTAGTAATGAGAATAATCCTCAGGAGAAGGAATGAAACCGTCACCTTCCGTTGTGCATGGCGAACCGGGTTCAAATAGAGTGAAGGCACCCAACGTTGGAAAGGTTGCATATGCAAACAACTGAACCAGGATGCTGATAACATGAGTTTGTGGCAGAACCTGAGCTCCACATGTAGCCCCTCTGTGAAAGAATGCCAGAAGAGCCTGAAAGACCCAGAGCCATCAGATGTGATAATCAGATAAAATGCCTTTAAAAAAATCAAGCATCCAGAGGATGTGTTTTTAGATGATTAATTTCTGCAGTTTTCAGGGATGGAGGAAAAAGACCTGATGGAAGAAAAAAAAAACTTTTCTGAATGGCTTACCTTTCAAAGGCCAAGGCAGTGACCTGCTCACACTTGTGAAGAGCCTCCTGAAGAATGGAGGTCATGCTGTAATCTGGCCGAAGCTCAAACACATCATCTTCACTGGCCTCCTGTCCCTCAATGCCCTCTTCCTGGGTTTCATGAGGCATTGCTCCAAGCGGAAACATCTGTAGTCTGTCCAGCTCTGTCCTGTCTGCCTGAAGCTGTTGTTCTGCTTCTTTGAGGCTCTTTACAAGGAAGAATCAATTAAAAATGAATTTGCAATGAAACAATGGAGTATTTTGAAGAAAAGAAGTACCCACCAAGCAGTGACTGTGTATGCTGGGAGCCATATCCTGAAGATCTGGGATTTTTCTCTCCGTGAGCTGCTGAATGAGCAGGCTCTGCAGGGTGACCATGGCCTTGGATGTCTCCAACACTTTGGTCCACCTCTCAGCCTTCTGAAAGATGATGGTAGCCATCTGCATTGCAAGGCTGTCCGCTTGGCAGAGCAGATAAACTTTCCTCTCTCTCTGCATTTCCTCCATTACCTGCCAAAAATACATAAAAGAGAGT